GTTTGTAATTGCAGGTTTTGCCCTTGGCTGGGGTCCTATTCCATGGCTGGTGATATCCGAAATCTTCCCCCTTAAAGCTAGAGGCATATCAAGTGGTGCTTGTGTGTTAACAAACTGGGTTATGGCCTTCCTGGTAACCAAAGAATTCAGTGATTTAATAGTAAGCATTGGAAATTACCCTCTGAAGTTTCTTTTCATAGGGAAATTTATTAAAGATGCTCCTGAGAGAGCCTTGAGCCACAGTCTCTTCTGGCAATACAGAACTGCAGTTGTACAGTAGCGAGCTGTTACTAATGTGGGTTTTGTTGTTTTCCCTCCTTTAGGGTTTCTTAACATCCTATGGCACGTTCTGGCTCTTCTCTGCCTTCTGCTGCCTCAACATTGCTTTTACAGCCTTTTATGTTCCTGAAACAAAAGGACAGACCCTGGAGCAAATCGAGGCCTACTTCCGAAGATCTTGAGTAAGGCTTTTTGTACTGATAACGAAACCTTTGTATCATGAGTGTTGGTGCTGTAGTTGAAGGAAGCTGCATCACATGGCAGACATCTCAGTTAGTAAACTTGCTATCGTATAGTTTTAATGAATTCTGATAAATATGAATTCTGGTTTTTAAACAAGTAGCTATGGGATGTGCATACCCTTCTGCATAGTCCCTGTCCAAGGCTCCCTTTGTGGGTGTTGCACATATTCCTTTTCTTTGATTCTAAGATGTAAATTAAAATCTAATTTTGTAAGTAAATAGATTTAGTTTCCTTGCTCCACTTCACCTTTCCCTTATGGCACAGCTTACAGGGAAGAAATGAATTATGTAGCCTGACTAATGTTAAGTTCAGGCTGCAGTACTTTACCTTTCTGGTGCTGCTACTGTTTCTGGGATGCCTGACCAGGGAATAAGTCTTGATCCCAACAGGAGAAGAATGCTTGGATTTCATGGCTGTTAGGGTTAAGTTGACCTTATTTTTTGTATTGCTGTCAAGTTGGCCAGGAATGCATTGAAATCACAAGAAGGGCTGTAGCTCTTAGGAATAATGTATTACAGAATTCAAGAAAGAGCATTGCTTTTTCAAAAGGAATTACAATATATTGGAGCCAGTGAGAATACACTCTTAGCCAGATAAGGAGAAAAACTTCTAATCTGTAGTGTTGATTTAAGGGGTAAAGATCTCCAAGTGGAGGAGGTCTCTGAAAGTCTAAGAGATGCCTGGAAACACAAACCAGTGCTGGATTATTGCTCTTGTCAAGCATGGGTAATGCTTAAAACACAAACACCAATCCCTCGGGTATGATACAACACTTAAATGAATGACATCTCTGAAACACAATTTCTAGATGGAAACAGTAATTCAGAGCTGTCTGCAATAGTTCTACCTCCTGTCTGTTTAATGTCTTGTCTGATGAACCAAATTCAGAATAGTCGTTAGTTCTGCATGTGTGGAAAAAAGAAGTGAGGTTAAATTTATGATTCATTCTTCGTGAAGGAATAAATCATTACTCCTTCATAAAGGTGATAAATGGCACTTAAAACCGTTCCAGCTGTGATAGGACTGTTTCTATTTGGAAACACAAACTGTACACGCTGTCACATGACATTAAAACCAGTGGTAATACAGCAGCAGTTAAGACAAGTGGTAGGTAAAGAGATTGTGTCACAAATGTAGCAACAGTCTTAACAACAGGCAATTACTAAATCACAAAGCAGTCTGCTAACATTCAAAGACTTAGTTAAAACTGACATTCCGGGTTGATAACGCTTTTTGCATAAACCTTTAGAGACACAGCATTTTCCATCCAACCAGATAAATACCTAATAGAGCTATAAATCAGTATGCAGAAAATAATCTCTTAGATTTGCTCTTTAACTCATGTGCTAACGTCATGATTTCGAGTAGCAAATAGGAGTCGGCTGCAGGTCAGCAGCAAGTGAAGCAGGTAGGCAGCGTACAGGCTGGTGAAGCTGCTGTGCTCAACTACTAAATATACTTTCTAACCTGCATGCAAGCACAGATGTTTGCTGCATGCTGTCACATGAGCTTTCCTGTACTGTTAGTATAATTTATCCCTCCACAAAATCAGGCTAAGCCTATTTGAGACACCACTGCTTCAACTGAATTTGCAAGCACTGTGTGTATGAACCATGCCATCAAACTGGTAATAATGACAATAGTGTGGTACTCGTTTTCATACACAGAAGGCAACAAAAATTGTTCTCAAATACCTTATCACTTGCAGATGTGATAAGATCACATTATTTTAGATTCCTATATATGCTTAGGACTCCTAATCCCTTAAAACTTGTGGTAAAAATTACAAATATACACACAACTATATATATATAATCCTTTGGATTTAGTTTCTACCATATCTCAAATGCAGATTAAGCCAACAGCTCTGGGAAAGCTGCTGCACAAGTTACAGACCCACACCTTTAGGAAAACATGCAGGAGTTTGTATCCGTGGCTTGGTCAGAGAGACACAGACCAGCAGAAAGTAAATGGTGGGAGCAGCACCCTGGACCCTGTGTAACTGGTTATGTAGCTGTGTTACACTTCCATGGGTGCTGCCTCCCTGCTCTATTAAGAACTGTTTAAGTATTTATTCAGTTGACTGGCCTAGTAAAACCCAAACATGAAACAAAGCCATCCCCTAACACTTGCCTCCCCACCAAACCCCTACAAACCAAACACCTCAGCCCCAAACCAGGGAAGATCTATAATCCAAACAGGCTCTGCTTGTTCCCTGCAAGCTGGGAAACTGAAAGTACCCATGCATCCATTCAGCCTAGGGACACAGGTGTGGGTACTGAACTAGGTGATGTGCAGGGATCCCTTCTAACCTCAGATGTTCTGTGATGCCATGAGTCACTGCCCATGCTGGTGAGGAGGCACGAGTACACTCTGAATTAACTGCCTGTACAGTCTAATGCTTGCACCAAAGTAAATGACATTCCTATAATTTAGTCAGACTAAGGCACAGTGCTGAAGTGGTGACAATCCCATTAGCCAGAAGAGGTTAAGAGCCCTGCTTCCTCCAACAAATCCAGCATGTTGGGATAGTAAACATTTCTTGCAGAAACTTCTCTGTTACAAGAGTCCAGAATGGGCCTTCAGATGAGCTTGACAGCAAGTGTCCACCTTGGTAACAATTCTTCCTTCATGGAAAGGATTTCTTCCATCCATCTGCAGCAAGGTTTTTCAGTATTCCTCTCTATTAGAACAACACCCATCTTAACAGCTGTAAATTTAAGGTTATCTATCTTTCCTCCCATACATGAGCTGGCCAGCCAGTGCCAAGAATGCAGGCTAAAGGCAGCTTTAACAGATGTGAAAATAGGAAGGGTTGTGCCTAGGGTGGGCATGGCTACAATTTGTGCCCATGACTATTTTCTAAGTTCTAATGAGCAGATGCATGCACATGCTGGAAAAGCAGGAGGGAAACAACAGGGCTCTAAGGCTGGAGTGAACAACAATACAGCTGTCTACCCCGGCAGCCTTCCAACAAGCCGTGTCATCTTAACACCAGTCTGAAGCGGGAGAGGTTGCATAGATGCATAAAAAGCTTGCTCTTTATAAATGATGCACAAGAGCTTATATACCACCAGCTGGCTTTTTTTAATTGGAATCAGCAGTCAATGGTATGGATTTAAGACAGTATTTTGAGAGCAACAATGGCTAGAAGCTAGTTCAGAGGATGCCAACTTATCACACCAAGAGGCACAGAACTCATGGGCATCTGATGAGACACAAGCTCTGGAAAGAACATTCTCAAAAAGAGTTACAAGCTCTTGCAGAGGATTTGAGCTGGCACTTCCTTTTAGATGCTTATTAAGGTTCACCCCACACATTTATGGGTGCAGAAATACTAAAATCATAGTAGCCACTGGTTAATACTGCTTCTGCTCCTACATACTGCTTAAACTATTGCTTCTTTCCTTATCGGCCACCCCAGCTGAGAGTAAGAAATGATCCTTTCAGATAAGGCATTGTGTATTTTCTTAGGTGGAGCAATTAAACCATTGTTCACAATAATCTGGGCAAAAAATACTTTGCAAAACAGTTTTACATTCAGACAGACTGAAGCAAAAGGCACACGTCTCCAGATGGTCATGCCTGGAAAGCAAGTGGAATCATGACACAGGAATGGTACTATAAAATCAAGGATACAGAAGTATTTCTACATATAGAACAAGAAATACTTGCTAGTAAAGCTAAAGCCTTTCTGTATATATTAAAAGCCTGGAAGCATCACTCTTTCATGGAAGAACAAAACAAGCAAAACAAAACCCCCCAAACAAACCCAAACCCTTTCAAAATATTGCTTGAAATAAAATTGTTGGTAAAGAGGAAAGGGTTGAAAAATAATAAGCTTTAAAAATGAAACCCTGTCCTTTAAAGCTTTTGTTATGTTGACTATTTCATCATAGAAAACTAGCTTCTTAGCAGTGCAATTTCCATCTGGATCCAGTTCGTTAGAAAAACACGATTATCAGGAATAATGACTTAGACTGTTGGTGCAAGTGCAGGCAACGGCTGCTGCAGTGTTCCAGGAGATGGAGTTTGGGGTTTTTTTGCTTAGTGTGGGTATTTTTTTGTTGTTTTGGTTTTTTAACTTCCAATTCTTAAAGAATATTTTGAGAGTTTGTGTTTTCTATAAAAAGTCTCAGTTCAAGGGTTCTTGACACCAAAACAGTTTTCAAGTTCCTCTCAAAAATATGCATGGGCAGGCCCCAGAGCAAAGGAAGCAGCATCTTTGTATCTTACCTGATCTTTATAGAACATCCTTGACTCTTCACTGAACATACCACAGCTGCATCACCTGGAGGACAGACTGACTGGTTGGAAAGACCTTGCCTGCAAGCCTTTGGTTTGGTTTGTTTGGTTTTTTAAAGACTTGAAAACCAAAAGGAGTGATTTATGTCATAAAATTCCTCTTCCCCCATGACATACACTGTTGTGAAACAACTCAAGATAGTAATAACAGTGATTAACTTAGCTCTTGTCACTCAGGTACTTCAAATTACAAGAAGCTCAGAACAAGTAATACTTTTTATTTACTTCATTTTCAGCCTAAATCTCTCATTGATAACCTACTGTTAGAATTCCACAAAAAGTAACGGTTCATTAACTGAGAAAACAAAACATACCTATGTCAGAGATAAAAGCATCACCAAATCAGGCTGAACTATCCAGAACAACAGGGGTTTTAAAAAGATTAATCACCAACACTTCCAGCCACATTTTACCACTAGAAGCAGTGTTTGTGACATTCCCACAGAGCTCACAGAGTTGTAAGAAAATGTAAAGTAAGGAGGAAAGGTTTAAGACTGTCTTCACTTCAAGTCAATGATGTCTTCATCATATAAAGAAATGGGCTGAAAAGAACAGCTAGATGGTGAGCTCTCCTCCCTGTTGGCTGAAGTATCCGGATCTGAACTAGTGGAAAGGTGACGTCCTTCAGAACAGCTTTCAAAAGAGCTTGAGATTATCCTGCAAAAAGGAAGACAAAAGTCACTAAAATACACGGATCAGGGCAAGTAGGATCACTGGCTATTTCTAGATTTAATCAAGTTATCCTAAAGACAGAGACAGACCATTAAAACTGAGTTTCTCTGGTTTACTGAGTGTCATCAAAAGGCGACTGTTAATGAAGTCCCCACTCAAATAATTTCCAAATAGTGAAACCAAACATGGGGTTACGCTGCAGCAGATTTTGTGTTTTATTAATCTCAGTCTACTGAGATTAATCTTGGCTAAATTCTGTCACTGCTCTACACAAAGGTAGGCTATGAGCCAGTGAAAACAAGAGAATGGCAGTGGGGTGAGGGCAGCAGCACCAGGCACGCCAGTGCTGTGGTGTTTCTTTGGAAATTCATTCTGGAAATAGCAACACAAGAGCATGCAAAGCAAACAGCAAGTGACCTGCTCAGGGCAGATCTAGCAGTCCAAATCACATTACAGGCTCAGCTGCAGCAGATCCCCACAAAATCCCCTTTAGTGCTGCTTTGCTCATTAACATGCCTTTAGCCAAGAGTGGAGTTGGTTCAGTATTTACAGTATTCAGATACTCTACAAACACATCAGCACGAAACTCATATCAGTGTACAAAGGTCTCAGTCAGCACCACACCAAGACAAGCCTGAACAATCAATTCTGAAAACATTTACAGTCTAACTTAGGTTCTTTTCTAAAGACACTATTTACCTGTCACTACTGGTTGATCTTACTGCTCCCTGCTTGGGGTCTGACTGTCTTCGAGGAGCCTTCTTTTGCTTCGGTGCAGTTTCTGTCTTGGGTATAGGCTCATCCAGGAGGCCTTAATAAGGGAGAAAAAGTTACTTTTAACAGAAAAGAAAGCATTCAGGAAAATGTTCCAAGTATCTGTTGCTGGTTTCTGTTATTAACTAAAGAGTTTCTATTTGGCTTAGAAATAATCTGTGCTCAGATGCTGGCTAGACTACTTGGAAATGATGTTTTCTCAGAGTTTCATTTGTTTGTTCATACAACTTAGTTATGAATACTGGTTGCATGTTACAAATCTGACTGTTATGGCCCAAAGAATCGAAGTTCTGTACTTAGCAATTGCTACATGCACTGAAGAAAGAGGAGAGCTTACCCAGCAATTCTTTACGTGTTCTGCTTGCAATTTCTTTAATTTCCATACGAGATAAGGATAGTGAGTGAGTAACGGGCAGAGAGGGAGCGCTGCTGGAGGTTGATGTAGTGATAACTTTGGGAGCCAACGGTGACTTCAGAGGTCGTTCAATGCTTCGCCCAACCAGGTTACTAAGAGGAATTTTGTATAAGTTTTTGCATGGAACTTCACCTGCAACAGGAAAGGAAAAAATGTCACACTTTCACTATAGAATCAATTCCTAATACTCGCTTTGCTGGGTGCTTTTTAACCCAAGTAACAAAGATCTTTCTTACATTATCTACATGATGTTCCCTTGTTTCTCTGTTACTGTTCCCCTGCAGATTGATTGCTCACAGATCACGTTACACTACGTTGACTGTGTAAACTCCTTCAAGGGTAGAACTTCTTAACGTCTTACCTTACGTTCACAAAGGAGCTTTAACCATCCAGAGGTAGTTTAGCTTTTCTTAAATGAAAGGAACTGTGTATGCGAAAACTCAAGTTTTCCCACAGTTTTATACCTCTTTTTGCATTATTAGTCTTGGCCCTATTGCCAAAGAGTTATCAAGCTCTACTGAAGCTTAATTCTTCCCTTCCTACAGAAAAGGTTTCTTCAAAACAGTGCTACCACACAGTCAGAACTGAGATACTGAGGGGCAGAAGCTCAGCCAGGTGCTTTTTATCTGTGGAGAAACTGAAAAATCTCTCTCTTCCAGACCCTCAACTAGGAACTCAAAATCTTTCACCTGGTCAATTTCGTCTTACTAAAGATCAGATGTGATGATAGCTGTTGGAATGATCAGAGATGGTTATTCAGGCTGCTTGGAAACCATGTTACCTTCCAGAGAAGAAAGAGGACTTTCTGGCATTTCGTAAGCTGTCGGTGTTTGAGGAGAACTCCTTGAACTCATTTCCTTAGAGCTGCTGTCAGATGATCCACTTACTGCAGCAGTAGCTTTAAAATAAATATCTGACTGAAATGACAAATAACTCATTGTTAGAACAGCGAGACTTTATCTTCTGAGTAAGAGCGCAAATGTTTGTCTGCTGTGTTCTGCCAAGTCAACCAGGGTTGGTCATGGAAAGGTTATCCCACTGTAAGTGGGAGGAACGTCTGTGATGTTGAGGATAGCATTTGCTAAATGGTCAGATATCTCAGATCTGCATTACGGGGAGCAATAAAGGACAGTGAGATCAATTTTGATTCTCTTTGTACTTGATACAAACTAAGAGCATGGAGATGAACAGTTATCACAGATCAAGTAGCTCATTTTACAGTTTTTGGTTGGTTGGTTTTTGGCTGCAGGAACTTTACATGTGAATTAGATCACAACATCTCACAGAAACAGACAAACATGATTTTCCTGTGTCTTACCTTTGATGCTACAAGTTGAAGCTCAGGCACAACTGCTGTGTGGACTAAGTTCCCATTCACCACTAATCGGATCTCAATGGAATCAGTAGTGAAGGCAAGGATGTAAGGGAAAGCACAGACTGTAATGAAACAAAAATTATTTGGCAAGGAAAAATGGTTAATGGAAATGTTTTTTGGATGCTCCATCAAAACTGTTCTTGAGTATCTGACCTCTTCGGGCATCTCCCTTTCCTATGAAAAGGGTTGTCTAACATACTGATGGACATTGAGCTACATCAAGCCTGAAGAAAACGTCACTCTCCATGCCTGGCAGAACGCAGACTGAGTGGAAAATGAAAAACAGAAAAAAAGAGAAAGGAAACAAAGTTCAGCAAAGAAAGAACTTGGCACCAAGACTCCACTTTTTAAAATTACCATATGCAGAAACTTAGCTAAAGTGGCATCACGAATGTAACATGCTTATTCCTAGCACACATACTGTAATTCCACTAAAAGCCAAGTGCAAATCTTAACAGCCATCTAGTAAAAAGAGATCTTTTCTTACCAACAGCATAAGGAACTTGATTCCAGCTGAAGTGGAAGTCATAAGCTGATGGCTGGATTAGTGGAGAACCTCCGTTGAAAGGATGTACCTTTCTGTACTGGCAAACATCTGTAACAAAGGAAGAGAAAAGAAGCATCCATCACCTTACACTGCACGTGACAAACACCAATCTGATTGACAGGCAGATTTTGTGTAAGTGTGGCCATGATATGCATCATCAAGCATTTATGGAGAAGTCCCTCTAAAGAGATGCGGGAAGTGGGCTTCCTCTGTGAACAGAACATTTGAAAGATCAAAATGAAAGGCCTACATTTTAATAAGTTGTCATATTCTTTACTTCTTTACTCACATACTCTGTGAGGGTGCTGAGGCGCTGGCACAGGCTGCCCAAAGAAGTGGTGAATGCTCCATCCCTGGCAGTGTTCCAAGGCCAGGCTGGACACAGCCTTGGGTGACATGGGCTAGTGTAAGATGCCCCTGTCCATGGCAGGGGGATTGCAACTAGATTGTCTTAAGGTCCTTGCCAACCCAAATCAGTCTGTGATTCTATGAGTGTACCAGGGGCTCCAGGTGAACATCTGTGACCCTCTCAAATATGTGCTGCTTTCACCTCTTTTCTATTTTTAGGCAAAACCGGATTTTTTTCCTGTAATTGCTGTTCGTAGACTAAATCAAAGTTTATGTCCAGAAATGTATTACAGGCCTTTTTCTAAATACAAACTTAAGCCACTGCCAAATCCTGTGTCCCGTTTTGTAAAAGGAGATTGGGAGAATTACAATGAAATAATGCAACAGTGTCAAGAGGCAGGTGGAAGGAAAAGCACAAAGACAGAGTGGGGCAGCACATATTACACAGTAAAAGGGGTGGAAATGCTAAATTGTACATGGCTTGCAAACACCTAGGAAGTGTGTAACTACCTAGAGAATGAGCTAGATGTGAAGAAATAGGACTTTAGTAAGTAACATACATAAACACATAGATACCCATCCATATACCTGAAATTAAAATCTACCGGCTAGTATGTCTAAATTCAACATACCCTGCAATAAAATACTACTTCAATTTCTAGTCTAATAAACATGTCAATTCAAAAGCATGTATACTGAAAAGCTTTCCATGAAACACTGAAATTTACTTAGAAAGACAGATCTAGGCTCCAACGAAAAAAGATGTACATATACAGATTGAGGTCCTAACGTTTTCAGCCTTCCCTAAATACTTACAATTGTAACACAACAGTAGACCAGCTTCACCATCTTCATATACATCAATAGCTGCAACAAAATTAACCTGCAAAGAGAATGGGAAAGGTTAATGAAGAGGCAGAGGATACTTAGATAACCTAACTGAAAATAACCTATTAACAAGAACCATCAAATGAAAAGAGAGGCTGTAACTGCCTCTCTTGGGAATGATTATTATCATGTGTTCCAAAAGGAACAAGTATCTCAGAGTGCCCTAAAGCAGAGGTTATAGAAGTGAAAAGGAAGAGACATGAAGATACTAATAAATTACACTTTCAGCACAGGATGCACCAAGTCTGCAAGAAATTATGTTCAGTGTGGTTCTGCAAGAAAATAGTCTCAATGTTGAAAACTTACCCTGTTTGTTTCAACGTGATGCAGTCTGTAGGACTCCCCAGTGCTCTCATTAACTAAATCAAACTGATGCCGATACGCTACACAGATCATGTTGTCACTGTCTCCAGTAGGCCCATCCACCAGCGTCATAACCACTGGAGGGTCAGAAAGGCATATTTCCTACAATGTAAATAATAGAATTATTCTCTTTTTCAGGCTCCTACTGTGGGTACTCCAGGAAGTTAAAGGGATGTGCTCTAAGAACAGAAACACGAAGCAGAAAGTTCATTAAAGAAATGTGAAAGATTTCTTTGGCATACACGTGATGGAACTCCATCAGTCGGCTTCTCACTTTTATTTGTCTGGAGGTTCAGAAGATAAACCCCGTGTTCTTTGGCTTCCCTCCCCCCAAGGGCTGCCCAGTCTGTTAAGGTAATTAGTGATTAGATCACACATACCCGGATGTACTGGAACTCCTCTACTGGAGATTCAGATGAGGACAGCAGAGAGCTGCTGGTTAAACTGTTGCATGGATTGTATTTCTTTGTGACAAGAAGTAGTTTGTTCCGAATAGCCACGACAATCCTCAGTTCACTGCCATGGTGAGTATTAATGGCATACAAATGGCAGCCTGAGGAAACAAGGCTCTAGATCAGAAGTCTTTGAGGTAGGGTCTGCTTATCTGTATAACGATTAGTACAACAGTGCTCTGGTGCATGACTTAGCAACACAATTACAAACCTCCCAACAGGATAACATTAACTTCTAGAAAAAGACAAAAGGGAAATTCTGCAGGTTCCAGATTTCCAAAGCAGCTTGCTTCTGAAGACTAGAAAATGGCTATGTCTGCTAGTACAATATGTGACACCCAAAGTAACCTAAGCACTACTATTCAGTGGAGCTTTGTCAGTGTTCCTCCAACTTAAAAAGTCTCACATAAGTCTTCTCATATCCCTCAATCCTGAAAGCAACATATCTATTTTTCTCTAGAGTTTTCCATCAGCAGTGATTGCCAAGTACCATGGTATTGTCACAAAGTTCTAAAATGTCATGTTGGACTACACCAGACTTACTTTCACATCGACGCTTAACGAAGTTTGAACTGACTGTCCAGAGAAAAATATGAAGGTGAACACCTACAACTGCCTCAAAGGAGCTAATAAGTCCCTGGCAACTACAAGCATTATACCACAGTGGATGTTTTTTTTAACACAGGAGAAAATAATCACCTTTTGTTCTCTCCAGTTTATTTTCTCTGCAGTCATATTTGCTTCTTATGATTTGCTTTGTTTCTATATCCTTTTGGACAGCACTGAGTCTGAAGACAAGGAGACGAGAGTCTTTGCCTGAAGGATGAAGAGAGACAGGACGCAGCAAGTTAAAAAAAGATGATGGTAGTTTGAAGTGAATACTTCCAAAGAGAAGCAGCACCTCCCAAACAGTTCATAGAGAGTATCATGAGAGTTTTCTGTTAACTGCGTCCTAGTCCTGTCAACCTTTGTATTAACTACTTAGGATTATGTGATATCTGCTCAGAAAGTGTCACAGCTTTTTGCCAACTCTTGGAAAGTGCAGATTATGATGGATGGCTGTGGTTGCTGCCTAGCAACTGATAGTTTTTATCAATCTAAAGTCCCTAACAAGTTTGTGGCATCTTTTATACCTGCTGCATTGGTGCCTTCTTCAACACCTTCAGCAGCATTAAGTCATTTCTCTACGTGTTTGCACAACTGAATAAACATAATTCAGTCAAAGAGATTTCCAAAGAGTGTTGAGTTCCAGCAGTGGCTGAAGAAAGACCAAAAGACCACATGATCTGTTTCAGGTTTGCCTTGAAGGAAGCATGAATGAGCATTCAGGGATTCCCACCCCCCGCCCCCAGCCTTTTGGAAAACAAGAGCAGTTGCTGTATATGCTCCCCTATTTGACATGAGGCATCTAACACACCTGCCACCCATAGACACAACTGCCTCATGAGACATACATACCCAGCACTAGCCACATTCATGAGAGAAGAGAATCAAAGAACAGGCACCTCTCCTACCTTTGTCTGTTCGAGCAATCAAAAGATCCAGAGTTTCCAGCACATGCATTTGCTTTACTTGGAGAGTTTTATCAAATACTTGCACTGATGGTTGACCATCTAAAAATGAAACACACGTGTGTGTATTCAAAACCCTGCTAAAATTTGCTAGTCACTGGTTTTAACTTATTTCTTTCTTGTCATAAAAGCCTCAGGTTTTTTTCTTATGCAAATGAAAAAGCTGCTACATACACCACAGCATCATAGCCAGTACTTGCTCACAGGAGAGTTTTATCATCGCCATGGATCAGATTATGCAAGTGAAGCCCAAAAGGGACCTTCCTTTGGAAGGTTTGAGAATTACCACCAAGAACTAACATCATTCCCTCGGTACTGCTGGCCTTATGTGACGTACAGAAACCAAGGGGTCAAACTAGCAATATCATTCCTATGGAAAAAGCAGGCTTTCTTTGTCACATAAGCCTTTGGCTTCATGCTCACTATTATCAAGGGCTAAGAAATCCAGACAAGCTGTTTAAACACTCCTTGAGCTTGGATGTGGCTTCATGAGTCTTTTCAGATGGTCAAGAAAACAACATCTGAAATAACAAAACATTCAGCAATCTGCATTAACACTGGCTACCCAATATGGCTTGGTTCTGGTGCAGCAAGAATTTTTGCAACTAGGTTACACAAATGCAATAAATTCACTTGGACTGGGAACTATCCCTGTAGGTGAAGACCTACCAACACCTGAACATTGCTTATGAACATACAGTTTCAAGAAAGTGGTCAGATAGATACATAAAAATTGACACAAAAACACTGGATCATTTACTAACCATCTATTAACAAGATGCCAGCATCTGTAGAAACCAGCAAGGACTGGCCCCAAGAATCTGCACAGACAACCTCATGAGGAAAATTACTGCAGAAAGATTGAGATTCCCAAGGCTATGAAGTAACATAAGGGATACATATTAAGTACACTAAGAAATACAGAGCATACAGACACAGAATGTGATGGACAATGGCAAGTAGTAACATGTAAATGCTTTTGGCAGGATACATTTCCAAACAGTCTATTTTTTTGAATTTGAAGTATCAAACTTAGTTAATTTTACTTAAAAACAAACAAACAAACAACTCTAAATGAAAACGTAGGTACCACCATGCATATGCGATTTGCTTACGTGTTATGGCTCCATTTGTGATGTTTAGTCACTAGCACATGGTACAGCTAAAACTGCCTTTGTGCCAAACTGTTCTTTCATCACATGTTCTCTGTACTTACCTCCCAGTACAGAGCCCTTCCTCCCCCAACTTAAATATTAGCTGAAGTCTCTGAAATTCTAGAAGTGCTTCTGAAGCTTCTGTATGTAAGATGCATGCAGAGGAGCGTGGTTTGCATCTCTGACTCCCTAATGCCCTTGAACAAAATCTGGGACTACAGGAAATAAGAACACAACTGAATTTTGTCTTAAACTTCATGCAGAAGTTAAAATAAAATAAGGAAAATGGTACTTTCATCAAATATTCTCAGATATAACAACATCCACATTTGCTTTAACTTGAGAAATGCTTCCACCTCTAGGCTCATCCTTTATTAATTTGGTATTGGCTGCAGAATCACTTTGACACTAAACGTGTCATCTTCGCTGCTACAGCATCTCATTACAAACCTAACTACACAGTATGCAGACCTGCCATGCCATACTTTCATAACTCCCCTCACACAGACAGGTTCACTCACCTCCTTTTTACAAAAGCTTGTGGTTGCCAGGTTAGCTGTGGCATCCCCTTTCACACTGGTTTTCAATTTCAATGCCTGATACAAACAGATGTTTTATTTAAATTGAGTTTCCGTCAGCAATACCCAAGCTAAATACTATAAAGAAAGGACAATATAGGACTACAAAGTAACTTCAGGTTGAAATTCCTATCACATTTCAAGTAATTGGGGAAGAAGCAGAATTCCGTATATCCTGAACAAAGTCTACACAAAATACTAGAGAGCTGCTAAGTATCTTCTCAGCCAAAACAAACATTGGTTGGGTTTTGGTTTAGGGTTTTTTTTTTGCCTTTAACTTCTGTAAAGTAATTAGTAAACTTGGGGAATAAATTATTGGTTACTTTTATCTGAACATTACAATTATTACTATATTTTTCCCCTACATCTGCCAAGAGTAACCAGTTGGGGAAAGGGTGAGCAAAGCACAGAGCAGACTGAGATTCTGTTGCACCAGCTCTCAACCATGTGGCTCCATTACCCACATCTGGAACTTGTCAGAGTCTTCTACTCTTCAGCTTACTAATAACTCAGATTACAAAAATGGGAGGGAAAGGAGGAGGCCTGGGTGTTGGAGATGGTTTGTTTCTTCTTTTTTTTCTGTTTTGGTTTCCTGCTCTGTTAACTCCTGCTGAGTATTCTTAAGAAAAGCAGCAGAACCATGTCACCAACCCAGGGTCAAGAAGAGACAAGTGGGAAGGGATTGGGGAACTGATGAGAATAGATACTGCCTTTCTTTCTGCTGCAATGAAGCATCAGATCAAACCAGACTAAATCAGCACTAAGTTTTACTCCTCACTGAATCAAAATGTCAGTAAGCCCATGGAAGATTGGAGCCAGCATCAGGTATGTTCAAAGCTGTGTGGCAACCTCTGATTTAGCAAAAAGACTGTTGAAACTTCTTCCTGGCTGAAGTGGGGCAAATAATTTCTAAGAAGTTCAACCTTAATAAAACACATAGAGGAAACCCACGAAAGATGATGCTTCTCCAAAGCACAGAAACAGACAGAGCTGCTTGGAGGCAGAAAGCTTCTACTGCACAAAATACAGAAAGACCTTTTAGGTTTGATCCCAAGGTATGATTTTTCTAACTTCCTTTAGCTTATGTAAGTATTTGTAATGGTGTTGTGTACCTCAGGTGTTACAGATAAATACTTTTGTTCATATTTTACCTGAATGTGGCTTAAACAAATAATACTACAAAACTATTTCTGACCACAGAGAACTGCATTAAATCCTGACATAACCCTGCAAGCTCATCAGATTCTAACAAAAGCAGTGATGCAGTCTTTGTACACATAGGTGCATACCCCCTAAACTGATCCTACCTGACCAAGTCGGACAAACTCTGCTTGCCGGGCTTCCTCTTTCTTCCGTGTTGATTTGGGTGACTCTGGTAAGACATCACTGAAGGATCTTCTGTTGAGCATGTTCTAAACCAGAAAACATTTTTAACTAAACCAAAAGTTTTCATAATCTTTTAATCTGAGTTAATGTGATATCATTTAAATTTTCTGTCTTTTTCCTGGGTATTTTCCTGTAATGATGACACTAACTGTAGAGCTTCTCAGAGAACAGACATTGCAATTCTTCCAATCCTTGACTGCTTTACTTTCCAACTTGTCACAGTTTGTCACCGTCACATTCTATACAATCATAAGACAGACCTTGGACATGAATATATGGACAAAAAAGTTCAAGCAGATCTATTTAACTATGAGAAATAAACGGCGGGGGAGGGGGGGAGGAGGATAGCATCCTGCTGATTTTAGAAGTATTAAACTTCTTTTTATTTAAGAATCACCTTAATAATGTCTTCATCATCTAAAATGAAGTTATCTCATTGTTACCCAAGGGTAAAAATCATGCAAATTTACACACAGTGGGATGAGTAAGTGCAGTTTTTATGGTGATGAGACCAATACCTGTATTTGCAGAGCCTAAATTTCCTGCCTGCTGCAGGCAAGCTTACACAAAGCATGACATTTTTATGCTTCTCCTCACATCTGGTTAAACAAATGCATGAAAAGTCCTACCCTGAACTGACAGTCTGACAACTTCCATGTAACTGTAAAACAAGGTGTGTGACAACTGGCATTTAGTCTAGTGAATGCTATTCAGCGCTCATCAGGATTAGAGTCTTCTAAAGCAACAGAACATGCCATTTACTAGGGAGAACAGGAAAGCACATATGAGGGATGAAAAGACTTACATTTACCTTGTGTAGATCAGGCATCAGGTCTTGGTATAAAGAGCGGATCAGCATGTCCAGGGTGCGCTGACGTTTCTGAGAAAATGTTGGGGTTTCCAAGGTGGCTTTTTCCCCATTTATTACTAAAATATTATGGAAAAGAAGATACGTGACCTAAATGAACGGTGACGACTTCCACTGACCCTGCTGGGCCTCTGCATAAAAATACCTCTTCTCCCCTTAGTAATTTAGAGTTGCCTCCTTTTTGCACTTTTTTTGCATAATATAATATAATACATGTTTAAAAGGGAAAAATAGTAATAGGAGAATTCTACAATAACCACCTAACTAATAAAAAATTAAAGACAAATTGCTGATCAATTTAAGTACTAAACCAATTTAAATCTGTGAAATGAGTTATCAGTCAAGTTCCTGTCAGCTAAGCATTAACTGTAATCAGCATGATCAGTTCTCAAAGATTGCTTTCTCACTGATGTAAAAGGGCGAGTCAGGGTCAGTGAAAACTGGAACTGAATCATGACAGAATTGAGAAGTTCTTGAAGGTGCTGAAAGGCACCTCTGCAGCGTACATTCAGAAAAGCTTACACACAAAAGTTCCCAGAGCTGCTAACCTAACAGCTTCTATTCCTAAATATTGAACAGCATTACAGATGCCTTCAGATCTCTAAGTCCTTTAAGAAAATACAAAGCTAAATATGGCTGCACATTCTGCAAATGAGGAAGTCAGATTCTGTCTAGTAGAGAAGCTTAATTGCATAGAAATTCACTTCTTCATTAATCTGAGTGAAACAGTTCGGTGGAACTGACATCCCACCTATGAAACCAAGTGTATACAGAACACGAGCACACACAAGAAAATGTGTTTGCATTTTAAGCGTCATTCATTGAAAGCACTTTTTTTAGTAAGTGTTTCTAGCAAAAGAAAAACTGACTTACATTTCACTAACAAAAAATCCCTGAATTCCTGGTGATTTGTAAACACAGGTGGGGATGGAAGGGGAGGCCCAAAGAGAGGAACACTTTCTTCTGAAAATATTTTCAGCCTATTGAAAGAACAAATCTTTATCTATAGTGAAAGTCACATTCAAAATGCACCTTTTTTTATAGACACTACTCAAAATAGAAGAACTGCAAACTGTTATCTGGGTATGTCTTAGGTAAGATCTCCCATGGGTCTAACAAAAACCATTCACTTGGAATTATTCAGCAGAGCAAAATTCTGCTTCCTCGTTAGTTTGTTACTAACAAGTAAAACAGAACTTTGCAGTTCTACTCATAGAATAATGCTTTTAATGGCACTGGCAAAATCTAGTCCTTTTCCAAAAAAAGCTGTAAAACAGTTCTTTGCCTTCAAAACATGTTGTCCTTATCGATTTCTCCTTTACCTGTGCACTCAGCAAGTGCATGATTTGTTTCTTTCTGAATAATAATGCCTTACTACAGCTGAGTATGTATCTTGGGAATAGCAAATTCATTTTCACTGGGGAAGAGAGTCAGAATGACTTCCATGCCAGCTGGATCTGCTGAGTTCTTCTGATCCGTAAGGAATCCAGCATGGATCCTGCGTGGTATACACTATGGAAAGATGTGTCAAGACTGGCAGAATGAGGCAACTGAGGAGTAAGATGGACTCATCTAGTAAAAGCAGTCAGTTACAGCAAGAGAGGTAAATTTATCTTATTTATTGCTACTCTTTTTCTTCCCAAATAAACAGCAGTGTAAAATGTAAATGTGTTTACCATGGGCAGCCCATCTAGTGACTATGAGCTTATTAGGTTAAAGCCACTTTGCTCATTAAAGCCTAGGCACAAGGCTGCAGAAATACTTGATTTTCAGGTTCTGGTGAGACCTAACAGACTCAGACTTGGACAGCATATGCCTCCAAGAGTGAGGGCCCCAAGGCTAATTGGAAAACAGATGAAGAACACGTTATTTACCAGCAAAATTCCACTAAGTTTTAAGTATGTGATGTCCAGCTGTACTAGTACTCTATGAAGATCCCTAAAAATTAACTGCTTTGCTTTGCTACAGCCAAACCCAGACTTGTAAAAGGATCTGAAGTCCATGGCTATCACATCACATCTAATTAACTTTCATCACACATGTAGTTCACCATGTCATTGATCTCACCAGGTCAGAATATTCCTGACATATCTTCCGTCATTTTGTTACATTTAATCTAAAAAGTAATTTTGTTTTGCCCCCTTAGTTTATGGCTGTTTCTTCCATTTTTCTGATGGAAATAAGCAACTACTGACAGCCAGTTTAGAGCCACCCACATCTAGGTCCATATTGCTCTTCAGTTTCTTAAGTTTATTTAGCTTCCTTTGGCATAAAGACAGGTGGACAATACAAAATACTTTCCCTTTATCTCTAAACCATCAGAAATTCAGTGTGAAGTTATTTGTTACTGTTGTGGTTTACAATCAGCACCTACCTGTAACTATCATTCTGCTTATTGTATCTCACTAAGGCAAAAATATCTGCCATGCAGTTAAGGAAGTTAATCCAGTACTAATGACTCATGTATTTTAATACACTTCTTTCCTCCTGCAGAAAATCACAGATTTAATAAGGGTAAAGTATATAAATCAACATAAATATTCTAGACTACACGCATTCTACTGTTTATAAAGGAGGTCCCACAGCCTGTAAGTCTTCAGTCCTCATTAACAGTGTCAAAGAAAACATAAGTCTGAATAGCTTCATTGGCTGTATGGGTTTGTTCCAGATAGAATGGAAAGACCTTTGCCAGCAGCTGTGATCAGCACTATCAGAGACTGCACAATAAAACAGACTTATAATGACAATCAATTATTTCAATGTAAGCATCCAGTGCATTTTAGGATGCTTGAGAGTATATTGTCTAATCTCCAGCTGCTATTCCAAAAGGGACACAGATCTGTAGGCCCCGTGTCATCTCTGCCACACCTGTACAGGCATGTCAGATATGCTGGGATATCTAAATTGGTGCTGGCTGCCTTTACCTGGGTAACTCAGTCCTACCCTACAGACGGCACAGGGCAAACCCTTACAGCAGCTATTGTTGCTGTATAGGACAGCACAGTGGGATATCCATATGCTTATTTTTCCCATTAAAGAAGTAGCAAAAAAGGGGTACTATAGTACATAAAGAAAGTGAGTATGAAGAGCCAGTAGAGATTCAATGAGCTTTGAGATTTACCACATCTGACACCGATCAGTGGTAACCCCCAGTTTTCTTGCGGACACCTTTATCCCTGGCTGTTGTCAAGTTAAAACATCAGGAAAGTGATGGGACTCCACTGACCAGCTGTGGATTACTTAAAATTAACTAAACAGTAAAATATAGTTAGTCCTGAGGCAGACTCAGAGACTCCTAGTCAAGCAGTTGAAGGTAAAGAATGCAACTGTCTTTCTAAAATAGCTTTCACTCCCATAAGCAGCATGCAGGAGGGACTTCGGGTAGGATGAAAAGTAATACCAATCTCTAAAAACAAAAAAATAATTCATTAAATAAATAAGTTATTAGAAAATGTAAGGAAAAAGATACGTGTAAAATGGGAGCGAATCATGGATGGCTTGAATGCTGGAGAAGACTCTTCGCCTTCCTGAAACACGATAGTGACAATGTCATTCCCAATGTGTCGCTTCCTTTCTACCTGGAGAAAAGAAAAAAAGAAAAAAAAAAGGAAAAATAATAAAAAAAAAAAGGGATAGGGGAGAGAAACAGACACAATGAATTAAAAATCGTATCTAAATACCTTAACAGTTCTGTGAGGGAATGGTAAAACAATGTTCCTAAACTGCAAACAGGAAAACTGTGATATGAACATCATGTCTGAAGCCATTATAAATTATAGCAGTGCCAGCTGCTACAACAGCAGCTATTGCATATTAAGTTAGCAGAGCACTCCCTATTTTCCATAATTTCCATATTTAATATTCACAAATTGGGCACAGAACACCCAGCATTCAAAAAAACCAGACCCACCACTTGAAATAAAAAGGAAAAAACCCTGATGCTGAATTACTGTTTAAAAATAAATGTCCTGATTGGCCTCTGGTTTCTGCTGTGATCCTGTCATCAATGCAAGGCAAAAGCATGAGAAAACTGGCATGGAAATAAACCCCCAATAATCTAATTATATAATCTAATTATATTATTATAATACATAATTATTGCTTAAGTAAGAAAATAGTAAAATAATTACTTTGTGAATAATTTTAGGTAAATCATTATAGATGTGATGGAGAGGTAAATGCATGTGCTTATGAAGTATTTCTTTCTATCATATAATACACAGAAAGGTTCAAGCAATGGATGATGGCACATTTGAACAAGCACCCAGTAACTCACCTGGTCAGTCTATGAGAGGGCAACAGCAGTGCTTTAGAGCAAATGCACAAAGTTTACCATTACCATGCTCACACATGCTTGAATCTCTTTGAAGCTACACAAATTGCTACCTGAGTGCGAGTTGTGTGTTACATATGTAATCTGACAACTCACACACAACTCTAATTTCCAGCCTTCCTGAATTCTTTGAGGTAATGATAATTGCAGCAGTGAAGCTCTACAGGTCATCTGATTAAAGGAATAATCAATCACTTCTCAGACATTCAATTTTGACCTTCTTCACAACTGTCTTTTGTACCTTAATAGAGTTGATATGATGCATTGTCGTCCAACAAACATCATTACATTTTCAGCATTGGGTATAACATTGAAGAAAAAAAAATACAGCAGAAGCCTTAAGGCTTAAATTTCTAAAGTATTAACAGGCAAGAAGTCCCTTATTTTCTTTTAAAGTTTTGGAGTTTGTGATTTAATTAAAAAAAGAAAGAAAAAAGAAAGAGAGAACCACGTACCTGCTGCTTGTTCTCTCTAGAATAAGGTAGCATGGTTGAAACATGGAACATGATTTCATGCCCTTGAAAAACTGTATAGATGGAAAAGATTCCTGTTGTATCATCTGCAAGAGAAAACAACATTCTCAGCAGGGATATGAACTTTAAGGTTTCTAAAGATCAAAAGATATTTCAGGTCCTTCTTCTTTAGTGATCCTTTTTCCTCATCCATTCTAGAAAATGTTCACACTGCATGTTTTACATGGGTCCAAACCCAAGTTAGCAACCTAATCTGCACATTCACACTCTTATATCTTATGCTGTCCACTATCATGAAACAAGTAACATGTCAGGTATTCCTCACCCCATTCCAGTATAAAATGAAACCATTCACCTTGAAAATACAGGTCATATAAATACTTTTCTTCAACAGCATTACATACCAGTGGTTTAAGGTAACCTTACTTTTTCCTGGTGAAGCAAGGCATTTAGCATGCACATATTTCTATAATATATACAATATGCACAAGCAATAAACAAAAACATTTACACTGCATCCTCCCCCCCCGACTTTTTTGCTTCAGATGAGTTCTTACTTTTAGTATCCAGTCCTCCTCTGTACCCTGTCCAGCCTTTCAAAGTAACTATGTCACCCAAGAGATGCAAAAATCTTTGAAAGCTTTCACTTCCCATTTCTATATGTGGGAGAGAGAAATGTTACAACAAAAAAGCACATGTAGTAACAGAACAGCTATAATAAATAAACAAGATACAGGAATATTTGGATTAATAGAACAATATAAAGGTGAAAAAAGAAAGCTCACCATTGCTGAACATTTCATCATCTGTGAGCTGCCCATCCTTAGCATAAAGGATTCCAAATTTAAAATTTACAGATCCCTGAGAAATAAAACCAAATACTGTATGACAAAAACAGGCAACCAAAAGATGTAAAATCATGTTTTCTCTAAGGACTTTTATATATGTACCTTTGTATACATCCTACACATGCGAACATGAAATTCATTCCAACTCCATTATGTGCTCAAGTAGTAGAAATCAAGTAATGTATCTCTGACCATAGATATGAATTTTATGACATACCAAGCTGGTGTTCTGTTTATATATCTGTTAAATTGGAGCTTTAACCTTTGATCTTATGTTGCAAAGAAATACTTTTTTCTTTACTGCAATAGCAAGTGATTTCTAAGGTGTCACAAGCACATCAGTGCAAACAGTTCATAGAGAAAGCTGTATTCGTTGAATAGGTCATGAGCTACAAGTGGTAAGTTTACATTTACCTCTTGCTCTTCAAGAACCAGTAAATCCTGTAAACAAAACAATACTTTTAGCACACTGGTAGTAAAGATAACACAGATAAAAAAGTAACATCCTTGTATACTTAAGTTTTGTTTTGAAGCACCTGGTTCAGCTGATAAAAGAGTTTACTTCATAATGCCATGTAACCCTACTCGTCACTCTTATCCTGCTACTGAAACAAACCAGTAGCATTTATAGTTAATGAGTTATTTTTCCTGAAATTAATTAAGAAAAACAACCAACCAAAAATGAAAAGAAAAAGGAAGTTACCTCCTACCTTTTGTATCTCAGGATGAAAGATTTCCCTTGGGCTCTTCTCAAATTTGTCAAGACTCATAGCACTGAAATGCAAATGAAATACTGCTTTAGAGAAGGGCACGTACAGGTATCAACATTAAACCACTCACTGGTTGCAGTGAGAACTGGTTACAAAAGGAACTGTTCATAGAGCCTCTCTTACTTACTGGTGTCAGGCTTGCTCACTTTATATTCTCTTCTGCCACAAAAGAGGCAGGACAGACTACAAGCATGCTCATACCCACTCTGACTGGGAGAAGGAATTTTCTTGGTTTCGCTGTGTGTATCACACCCATAGCAAGACTTACATGGAGAAAAATCAACTGATCTATTCTTTTTTATCCTGTTTGCTTCCTCCTGCTAGGGTCACACCGCCACCACCTCTCTAGTCAAAATCTGCTGTTCCTTACGTCTGTTTATTGTCTACCTAATTTAAAAAGGTATTTCCTCACAACCACTGCAGTTCCACTTGGCACCTGATTCCCAATTAACTTGAAAACAGTTCCTCTGCTGAAGAAAAAGCACTAAGAATTTTCCTCTAAGTTGTCACTTCATCTATTCCAGAACAGGCTTTAAAACCACTTTTTGCTGCCTTAATGACTAAGATTTGTAAGCCTGTTTTTACTGATTTTATAAATCTATCATGAAAACCATGCAACACAAGCTCTGAATGACAGGAAAAGGCATACAGACAAATAACCGATTAATTTATTTGTAAATACATACCTTAATATAGATTTCACTGATAATGTTTTTGTGGGGCTATAAGGGAGACATATTTTCTGAGTACCCTATAAAGAAAAAAAAAGCTAGGAGCTACTACAGGACATACTGACTCGTTCTGTATATTCAAATAGGCATATTAATAAAAACAGTTATGTAAAAAACCCACCAAAATTGTGCTAGTTTTACTTAGCCACGTTTTCCACTAGCTTGGAAAAACAAGCAAACAAAAAACCACAAACTGAATGTAAAAAGCCATGGACTGTGCAAAATTACTTTTTACCACATGCCAAGGTAGTCAAAACTAAGTGGAAGGACTGCTGAAACTAGAAAACATTACAAACTATGAACCACGCATGCATACAGCATGATTTTAAAATCAGCTGCTTGGATAAAAGGCTCTTATGGAATGTTAAGAGAGAAAAAAAATACATTAAACAATACTACTGAATCCAGCATTACACCTGCCTACTTGCTTAACATTGCATAAGGAAAGCAGTAACAAAGGCACTGCCTAAATTGATCACAGGCCATAATCAAGACCAATTTAGGCAACGTTTGTAAGAATAACAGAATTGAAGGTAAGAACAACTGAAAGATATCTCGCATTACAGATTTCTGTCAGAAATTTTAGTATGTTATCTACAAAACTGGTTTAGTTTTATCTACTGTGGTAGAGTTAAGTGTTCTTATTGTATAAAATGAAAAATATGTAATAAATACTGAAATTCTGAAGAAAGCAAAAAGGGCATGATAGATGTATCCAAAACAAACAAGCAAACCAATATAAAGCCAGAGCAACAGTTAAATATTGGTTTCTCACAGTTTTTCTCCAAAGTATTGCATGGTATTGAGGAACACGCTGATTATTTTGGTCAGACAGTACAACAGACAGAAAGAAAGGGTTCTTCTCTGCATCTGTACCTATGTAATTTTGATGAACTGTTAGGGAAAACCAAGAAGCATTATCAACCATAAAGAATACACACACACCCGCTCGCACACAGACACACGTGTATAGATGTGTAAATATATGCATTCAGATGTAAAAATCTACCTAAAGAGCTATGTATTTATATAGGGATGTATAAAAACCCCAAGAGAAAGGTACTGCTTTAAAGGCCAAGCGTTTCAAAACATCCCTTTTTGGTAGCAGGGATTCTACCACTTACAGAAACCCTCTGTCTTCATGTTAAAAATACATGAAACAAGAACTTGTTTTCTGTACAGCATGGAAAATGGATACTAATTTAATACTATACTTTTTTTCCATATTTAAGTAATAGCAGTTCAAAGCTACACTGCATTTTCATTGATCAAAACTTCAATCCATTCACAAAAAGATAATTACCTTTCCCTAAAAAATATTTGAAATACCATCTTGTATGATACTCTGGGTTTTCCAAATGCACGTCCGTTCTGTGCCATGTGCCAGGAGTGTAGTCTGTGTTCTGAAATAGAACTGGGAGGCTTAGATCAAATGCTGGAACTGAATCATTTTTTCAGCTTTCTGTGAGTATCTTTAGCCACTTACCTCACCAGAGGAGCCATTTTCCACACGGAACCGTCCAGCTCTTTGAATAGCTCCATCAGCATCGCTAGATATAAGCTATAAGAGAGTTTAAGACAGAGGTTCTAGTGCCAAAAATAGCCATATGATCAGCAGTCAAAGCTTACCACAGTTTCTTCTTCTCCCAAGCACCAGATGACTACCCACAGAGAAGGGATCGGCACTGCTATTACCAATTTGACTACAGATTTGGCATGACTCAATTATAACTCTAATCAGGTAAGACAGCTGGAGTTTAGCCTCTTTACCCCTCCCCAATTCTGTTTTCCTACAGTAAGTTTATGTAATTTCATTAGAGCCTTGTCTAACTTCATTAGAGTGACATTATTTTAACTGTTGGTAGACTGCTACTTTCACAGTAGAGAAGAAATTTAGATATCAAAAAAAATGAAGGGTCAACTTAATCTTTAAATTTGAAGAAAATGCAGAATAAGTGACAGGTTCTAGGGAACAGCTTTCCATATGCTTATTCTGGGTAGTTCCTTTTAATTTTAAACCTTCTCCCACCATTCTGAGGCACATACACATAAAATCACATACATACATAACTACACACGCTGTTTTTAACCCGTGTAATTGCAAGTACTTCATCAAATACTTGCCTAATATTTTGCCATCTTCAGCTCATAGAGGAAAAAAGCTCAGTCTAGAGGTAAACACAGTATTTATATAATGCTTCCTGTCCCATGATGATGAAATATTCATGAACAAGGTAGTAAAAAGATTTCCTAGTGCAGGTCAATATATCTATACTGAAGCTTCTTTTTATTACCCTCTAACTTTCAAGTCCAGCTTAGAAAGCACATTTTTCTAAACTAGATCCAATTTTTTACCTGGAAATGAAAAGGATTTGAGCTCTGCATTATAAGCTGCTAAAATCAAAGGACAGGCTGTATAAACTTACAAGCTCCACAGATCCGTAATGCTTTCTGCTAAACTCTCCACGTCTGCAACCCAGATCTTCAGAGACAGAACTGGAATAGAAACACTTCATCAGTGTACACAAGCAACTCGCCTTCCATCTCCTGCAATGCTATACCCTGCCATTAACAAATATCATTCCTGCAGAACAAGGTTTGCAGTGCATAAACTCATTACTGCAGGGAACACTCCTTACAATGTGCACAACCTCCAGCAGCCATTGCAGTCTGGCTTTCATATTATCCCCAAAGGAAAAGAAATGTCTGTCCTGACTAGAGGAAAAAGCCAATATTAAATTAAATATTTAGTTATAATTTGATCAGAGTTCCAAAGCAGATGGTGGCTTATAACCACATCTGAAATCTGCATTTAATCTAAGGGAAGCAGAACCTATAATAAACTTAATGCCTCAAACAGGAGAACTGCACTATGCTCAATAACTCCATGCTTAGTACCTTGCTACTGGTTTTTTCAGAGAGTCTTTTTTTGGACTACTCACAAAGATAAACTACACACCTACTTTAATTCAGAAGCATAAGGCAAGAAAAGCATTCCTTGTGAAGTTCAAAATCTCCATGCATTTTCATATATAATCTCATACCTTCACATCACATTAAGCACATCACTTCATGAGGTCAAAACAGATAGCAAACACCTCCTCTAACTAGAAACACGAAGCCTCCTGCCGTCCCAACGGGCATGTATGTGTTACAACTAGAAGCTAAATAAAGATTCAGATGCAAATTTAACATAAACAATTTAACAGAAACAAGTTCAAATCTTAAGCAGTCACACACCATGAGGACTTCATGTCCAATACTTATATACACCAACCGCTGCTGCTGTTGGGCCTTTGAGTGAACATTGCCATGTAACAATGCCATGGTGTTGCACAGTTGTGGCACTGTAGGTTTTCTATTGGTTTTTAACTCTTGCAGGAAAATCAGGGCATCGTGGTAGTGCCAGCACTGTGTGTGCTACTTTTGTTCTACAGAATTCAGTTTTGTGGCTAGGTGTGCTAGTTACCTTAGAAACCGCTGTAAAAGCAATTTGAATCAATGAACACTTTGTCACCCTCAGGACTGGTGGCAGAATGTTATGGAAACAGCAGTCAAGAGAGATTTTGCGGTTCTGATCTCTGAAATTCAGCCTTCGATCAAATGAAGAAATGTCTGTAAGATGACAACTCAGGGAGTATGGAAGAGAAAAAAATCAAAAAGATCCAACCACAGTCACTAGCACAACAAACCTCAAACCTTGGGAGAGACAGGTCACTGTTTTGTGTGTTTGTATCTGGACAACCCCAAACACAGATATAAAACAAGTCAGAAAGTCACCACAAAGACCATCTGGCCTTTGAACAGAACCATCTCTGCCTGGATAATTTTTAAAGGCTTTAATCAGTCATGTGATAGCTCCACAAAGCAGGAGAAAAAGCAGGAGAAAAAGCAAGCGGTGGCTTACAAAACTGAACTCTTTTTGGCCTTGTGGAAAAACTAACCTCAAAATGCATGAAACGAGAGGAAAATGCCATCTCAGGAAACACCTGCATGATAAACCCAGGGAGTTCCAAAGGCATTTTAAACTATCTGCATACGCACAAACTAAGTCCTATACCTTCATTTGGTGACATTTCAGCTTAAAGTCAAACTCACTCAGGAAAAGCGTACTGAGATCTGAGCATATTACTGCTGCAGGGATAACAAAGTCAGTAGCTAACAAAAAGCTTTAAAAAATAAAATCTGAAGGGTATTCAAAACCAAACACTGGATAACTAAGAAACAAATATAGGGGTACAACATACGAATACAATAATGTAACATAATATGGGCTACCGAGTTAAAGGAGAACACGACATGACAGCCATTAGTATTTTTCCAACACCACTCTCGCTGTTCAAAAAGCAAGAAAATGTTGATTCAAACAGCAGTTTAATATTAATATTCTTATCCATTTGTGTCCCAATTCAAAGTACCTAAAACATATCTTTCAAATACACTAGCAGCCCTTTTAAAAGTCAGAACAGCCCACCTCTGCTTCTTCTCAACCTACAAGAAGTCACTTCATGTCACACTTCTACTTTGCATCATACTTGTCATCTGCTTCATATGAAGCACTTAAAGCAAACTCTCACACCAACATAAATGCTACACAGCCAACCTCGTGAAAGTTAAGTGTCTCAGTATCTGTTTATGCATAGGTACAATTTACATTATCAGGCTACTTGCAGAAGTGCACATATTCCCCAATGAATTCTAGCTGCACACCTCTTTGGCTCGCTGTTCTCAGCTACCACCAAGAGCTGTACTCCATCAGTTCTCTCACATATCACATCATCTGATTTAAAGAAATATGCTGTGATTTATTAACTTTTCTTACTTTCTTCACTGGATTACATCCTTCCTCAGTCCCAACCTGAGCCACATGAGAAAAACACCGTTGCTCGAGTTATGCCAGTTTTAAAACAGTTTTCATCCTAGTAAGAGGTACGACAAGCACTGAAATATTTAGGTTTACCAGTGGCTCAGAGAAATTTGGTGTAGTAATTCAAGATTTACCTATATTGCGAAGTGTTTTAATACAGATAAACCTTTATGTAGCGGCAAGACAAGGGGGAATGGATTCAAGCTGACAGAAGGTAGATTTAGGTTAGATATTA